TTTTAATATTTGTATGTTCGCGTTCGGAGAGTTTCGGCGCTCGTTCGTGCTCGGTCCTGAACGTTCGGGTTCGGTCCCGAATGTTCGGGTTAGTACCAATACTGCCAGCCCACTTTCTTCTGGGGCTCCAAACTCACTGCGCGCCAAGCTTTGTCGAACCGCTAGCTTGACATTTTTTTTTCTCTTTTAACTCGCACCGCCAGCCATTTCGGTCCGGTAGCCTGGAAGCCCGGTTAACGCGGCGCGTTAAACCGCCAGTACCACTTGAAAAACAATAGCGTGGCGGTTAATACGAAAATGCCCAGGCCCGCCGTTAAGTGGCTGGCGGTGGCGGCCAGATATGTCTGTGTTGTTTCGTGTATTTTTTTGTGGCGCGCAGGGCAAATTCAGGACCCGTGGCCTATTTATATATGGGAAAGGTACTGGCAGTCTAACGTCAAGGGCCCAAGACCGACGTATGGGCCAAGTACTGGTGGTTGACCCCATGCCGAGTGTGGAAAACCGGCTGAATGGCAGAAATGGAAAGTGTGTCGAACTGACGCCGCAATGCATTTTGCAGCTGAAACGGTTTTGATTTTTTTTGGTATTTTTTTGCCTAGAAAGATCACAATGTAATCTATGGACTCTGAAATTTTCATCTGTTTTCTTATATTCTTCTGAGCTAAAAAAATCACGGAAGATGCCGTAGTTTTCTGGTGGCCGGCAAATGGTGTAGTGGCGGAAATGGAAAAAAGTGCCAAATTCGCATGGTGATTATTTCATTTTCGATTTTTTTTTTTTTTTTTTTTGAAAGAACTACTTGTACTGGAAAGATCAAAACGAAGTCAGTGGGCCCTGCAGTTTTCACATTTTTTCACGCATTCTTCTGAATGCGACAAATCAGTGGAGTTGCAATACTTTTTCCCTTGGCCGTCACATGGCAAAGCGATAAAAAAATACTAAAAATGGTGAATGTGCCGAAACGGCGCGGCATTTATTTTCACGGTCAAAATGATTTTATTTTTTTGGGGGGATATTTTTCCTGAGGATTTCACAACCTAATCTACAAACCGTAAATCTTGGAAATGTTTGGCAAACAAAAAAACTTACTGAAGAGTCAAAACCCAAAAAACATGATTTCGAATGTTCGAGAAAATATACGAACAAGGTCGGCGAATTTTCACAAAAATTAGAGCGATTAAAAAGTTGTCTATTTTTTATGGTAATCTCCCTGTTCAAAAAGTAGCAAAAAAAAAGTATACTTATTTAGACAAACAAAATAAATAGTTTGTTTAACTTTGTTATTATTAATGGAGAAAAGATTGGTCATCTTTTTGTACGTGTGAACTCTCACGCTACTAGTTTTACAGTGAGACCACTTATATAAGTCATAATAAATATATGTGTTTAAAAAAAAAAAAAAAAAAACACAAAAAAAAAAGATATTATCCTTCAACCTAGCTTTCAAGTTTCCAGTGGTTATCTTATTTCTATTCAAAAAAATTGTAAGTCAACCATTGTAATTTTTCAGATTGTCGTGTGCATTATTACGCATGCGGAATTATTACTAATGGAGAAAAGATTGGTCATCTTTTTGTACGTGTGAACTCTCACGCTACTAGTTTTACAGTGAGACCACTTATAAGTCATAATAAATAAATCTGTGTTAAAAAAAAAAAAAAAACACAAAACACACAAAAAAAAAGAAATTATCCTTCATCCTAGCTTTCAAGTTTCCAATGGTTTATCTTATTTCTATTGAAAAAAGTTGCAAGTCAACCATCGTAATTTTTCAGATTGTTGTGTGCATTATTACGCGTGCGGAAAATCCCCAAAGTTGCCACAAAAAACTATTTTTTTTGCGCACTGTGGCTCATTTCTCCGTAATAGCAAAGTTCCTGACCCTGGGCCAGATTCAGGTGTTGTGTGCCTGATTGAAACAAGATATAGCATGGCATCCACATGTTCTCATACACGTGCAGGGATGAGATTTTGGAGAGAGCATTTCACACCACACCGGATGAGAGA